ATAGAAAGACCCTAGTCACACTCCTGTGTTGTCTTAGGAGTTAGGGGAACACAGGTGTGCAACCTCTGAAAACTGTAGTTCTGGGCTGTTTATTATAAGACAAGATGACCAAGCAAGGACGGAATTCGTCACTGGACGTGATTGGGTCAAGGGTCATAATGTTGCTGTCATCGAGTCAAGTGCTTGGGTCACATGGATCCCTGGGGTTGGTTGACCAGGAGTGGTATGATTAGCTTTTCCAGGCCTTGGTTTCCTAATCAGTCATGGAGCCCAGGGTTGATTGAGTCAGTGCATCTCTGTGGCATCTCCATCCCTCACATTCTCAACTTCTGCCACCAGTGCATGGACTCCATAGCAAACATGTGTAATATGGAGAGTTTGACATGAAAGGATGTTTTTACCAAGGGCTATAGTGGTGAAAGGCCTTGAGCTGGGAACTGGGGTGTGGCTCAGCAATAGAACAGTTGCTGAACATGTATGAGGCCCTGGGTTCCATTGCAAACACACACACACACACACACACACACACACACACACACACACACACACACACACACACACACATCCACAACTCTAAGCTTTCTATTTCCTCATCTGTTAAACTGAAATGAGACCCCAGCCAATTGCATGACTCCTGTGAGTTAGGGGCGGTGACATGTAGGAAGCACCAGCCAATTGCAGGGCTCCTGTGAGTTAGGGGCAGTGACATGTAGGAAGCACCAGCCAATTGCAGGGCTCCTGTGAGTTAGGGGCGGTGACAGGTGGGAAGCACCTATGGACTTCAAAGGGGCAAGCTATTATGTTTATCATTGCCATGCTGACTGACAGCTTTGCAAAGGATTGGAACACAGCAGCACACTCTTCAGCACTAATCTGCCTTCCATGACTCAGAAGAGCTTTTGAGAAGTTACAAAGGTCATGATCGTGAATGTAGAGCAGTTTTGTGGGAAAACAAACATCCTGGCTGGCTGAGTTGCTTTGTGTTTAAGGTTCCAATTCAGTAGGTACACACTCGCTGTATTAAACTCTTCAGGAACTTGTTGGTTCCTAAACTCCACATTTTTACAGATGAAACCATTGAGCCACAGAGAAATGAAGCAAACGCGCTTTCTAGAATTGCATGCTCATTAGCAGCAGATGTGGGAATGGAATCCCAGCTCTTGATTCCCGGTCAGCTTTACATCATTTGTTTAAGCATAACTCAGAAAGTTGAGCATGAGCTGAGGATGTCCTGATGGGGGTGGTGGCCATCTTTGAACACGAAATTGAAGAGATCAAGAGTCTGGATGTATCACTGAAGGGTGTGCGTCCATGAACTTGACTGGACCTCCTTAAGAAAGAAGGCCAGTGGGAGTCTCAGTCATTTTCTCATTCATAGCAATTCAGTCCCTCCACACAAAATTCTCACCAAGTGCTCTCGGAAATTAATTGGTGTGATATGACTGCTGGTCATGGTTAAATGGCTCTTTGTGGCACATTGATATTAGTATTAGTGTAATGTCTAAGAGGGTGTCTCTCTCTAGTCTGTCTGTCTCGTTCTTTCTCTCTCCCTTGCTCTCTCCTTCCTAATCATTAACGGATATATTCTTTCTTTGTTGAGCCAAGTTGCCAGAACTGACTATGAAACAAACCCTACACATCCCTCCCTTCTCAGGCAGCCTTGGTCCCACCCACCCCTGGGAGCTGGGCAAAAAGTCCGGAGCCAGTGTCAGTGCTGAGCAGCCTGTGAAAACAGCGCTTTCTGCCCAGACACATTCGAAGTGGCGTTCCGCCTGCCCCTCCCTCCTCTTTCTAGCCATAAATCTGTCTTCCTGGGATCTGCACATTTTTTTTTCTATCTTCAATCTGCTGATAACTTGCCTTGGCCAAGGATCTCAGCGTTGGGTGGGAGGGAGTCGATTTCCTCAGTCTTTTGGAAAGCCAGTCCTGGTTCTGAGTGTGGATGGAAAATGCCTGGGTGAGAAAACAGACTTGAATCTGAGTGCTTGGATTCAGACCTCAGCTCCACTTGTTGCTAGAACCATTCAAGCCTGGGGTGAATCCCTTAAATGCATCGGCCTCCTCCGTCTCGTAGTTTGCACCTCCATCTCAAATGTTGCACAAGCATGCTGTTAAATGGACTGATATTTCTGAAGTGCTTTAAACAGTGCTAGGTACAGAGACGTGCTTCGTAAACGACCATTTAGTAAGTTAAATAGTCTTTAGGGCCCTTGAAGGGAGTGGCTTCTTTTTTCTCCATTAAAATTACAAAGCGTATGCTATATCCTAGCCTTTTTATACCGTTGAATGAGAAAGAAAAAAAAAAAGGCAGAGGGACTTGACTTGCTGCATGGCGAGCCTGTCTGGCTCAGTGAGGTAGCTGTCCGCCGTCTCCTGACGCTAATGGAAGTGCAGTGAAGCTGATCGATCTCCTGAGTGTCCTCCGTCCAGCAGGTTGCTGGCAGCATCGGGGTCACTGTTGTTTAGCCGCCAAGTGCTCTGTAACCTGCCGTCCAGCTGTGCATGTGCCCAGAGCCTCCGTGGGGGCTCCTGGGGAGGGGGTTTCCACAGCACTGGGGCCTTGGTTGCTTCAAGGCTGAGCTGTGGGAGAGATTAATGGGAAGTGAGAAGAGAAACTGTTATTCTTACCCAGCAGTGTTGTTGGGAGTGTGTGACTCTTCTTGTATTTAGGGAAAAGATTACTCATGAGGATTTTCTTCCATAGAACACAAAGAACCTCAAATTACTGCTTGTGGCCCCCGCCCCCTTCTCACCCACCTCTCTGTTTCAGTTTGTCCTGGGTAGAACTGTCAGCGTTTTATTTTCATTTCCCCTCCTAGGCAGGCTTTGGTTCTGTATTTACGTTGACATCCCAACAGGCTGCCCCAGACCCGTTTCCCTGCATCATCTAAAAAGCCCTCTGGCCACTAGGTGCTTTCCTGTGCCCAGCCTGATGGGAACCTCCGCCCATCCCCTGATGGCGTTACCCTCCCATTTACCAGTAACGTCTGAAGTCACAAATTGGCATGCTGTTCTTGTTCCAAGTAGACACTGTTGACAGTAGCAGTTGAAGGTTTTCCCAGGATAGCCTGGCTAACATTCACACGCTACTAGGAAGAGGTGGACACTTGGATATCCATAAACCATTTTCAATAGGCATTGCTTTCTGACCAGTCAAGAGCCAAACAACAAAACCTCAGATCTTTTGGTGGCTCTGTTTCCTTCTAAAAGTCATAAAGTAGTCACATTTTACAGTAGCTACCTCATAATGCTACTTGTTTCGTCCATGTGAAAAACATTACCATAAAATTTAAAAGCCAAGAAAACACACTCAAAGTCTTGGGGTTTTGGGTTGGATTGGTGGTTTTGATTTTAGGGTAGTAGGGATTGAACTTTGGGCCTCACGCATGCTGCCACTGAACAATCACCCCAGCCCTCTTTTGACCTGAGACGAGGTCTCACTGAGTTGCCAGGTTGGCCTTGAACTCACTCTGTAGCCCAGGCAGCCATGCATACATAGCCTTGCATTGCTTTCCAAATAGCTGTGTTACCAGGCCTGGCCAACTGACTGGTTATAAGGAGTCTTCCGGGGACTTAGAAGAAACTGACGGCTGTTCTTCAAAAGCACCTACTTCCGAGGAGCCTCTTAGGAGGCAGAGCCTGGAATGTTCTCCCTGAGATCTGAGTCCTGTGTTCCCCTCTTCCCAGCAGAAGTTTAGGGCGAAAACTGGTTCGTTATAGGATTGAGCTGAAGGTCACGTTTCTGAGACACACACCACATCTCGCACAAACGCTGGTCCCACTGAGCTCTCTTTGACTCTTGATTCTGAGACTTCGGAGGGTGAAGGCCTGCAGACCTTGTGCTGTCAGGATTCAAGTTGTGAATAATTATCAAAGACTGTTCTCCCCAACTCTCTACTCCCCCCAACCCCCACACAAGAGCTTTTGCTCATAAGACTTTTAGCAACACTTACCATATTGTAAACTACTTTCTAAAGTTTTCACTAACTTATTGACCAACAAACTAGGCATATATCAATATATATTTAAAGTATATTTTCAAAAGATATGTGCAAACAACAGTAGTGTTATACGCTTTTACAAACTTCTCCAATGTCTAGGTTAATAGAAGATACCAGGATTCACATTTCTGTATTCAACCTGTTGTGACGGATAGCAGGTCATGTAGCTCCTAGAACATTCCGTGTGTGCTCATGAGAGAATAATGTTAATTTGTTCTGAAAAGAGTTTTCGCTGTATAGACACTGTGCAAGGGTCTTGGGAACCCTCTGGGTTCCCAAGGATCACACTTTGAGAACTATTGTTCTAATCACTTGAAGGGTGGTGTATCAGAGTTTCCCATAGCAGCAAAGAGAAATAAAACTACAGACTCTCTGCCTCCCAGAGATACAACCTGAACCACCCTGTTGGTGACATCTGACCCACTTCCAGTCCATCAGCAAGACAAATAATAAAGCAAAGGACCTTCTGTGTTACTCTGGCTTTGCATTTGCCAGAGGCTAGCCTGGCTCTTCCCAGAGGCTGAGTAAATGACTCTTCCTGGAAAAAGTTTCAGGGGATGCTTCATTATTTGGCAGCTCTGGGGGGGTCAAGACCAGCCCTGGAACACTCCCATTTCAAAGGACTCTGGGCTACAATCACATGAGCTCTGAGTCTAAGGTCTCCTGCTAAACACACTGAGATTTGTCATAATTCCAGTCCTCCTAGGGTGCCCCCAGGCCGCGTTAGAGCCAAGCTGACCTTAGTGCAGCCCTGGGGCAGGGCTCTAGGACCTATCATCCCTGAGACACATGGAAAGGGGGTTCCCCTCGTTTTGCCTCTAAGAAAAAAAGCTAATGTGACCCACACTTAAGCACTTACAAACCTGGGCCTTGGAACTCAACCCGAAGGCTCTTGAGACAGACAGTCTCAGTTCTGTTAATTATCCCAAGACCTTTCCCCCTTTGTCCCAACTGTATGACTGACCAGATCTTTTCTTTCTGCCTTGTGCTCTCCAACAGGCTTGCAGCCGATTTACTGGAGCAGAGATGACGTAGCCCAGTGGCTCAAGTGGGCGGAAAACGAGTTTTCTTTAAGGCCCATTGAGAGCAACACGTTCGAAATGAACGGCAAGGCGCTCCTGCTGCTGACCAAAGAGGATTTCCGCTACCGATCTCCTCATTCAGGTGAGAGTCTGGTTCTCGCGTAGGCTCAGCATGGAAAATATGGCCGGTGGTTGGTCTTTGCCGTACTCATCCTGAGGCAGTACTCTCCACAGAAGATCTCATGGGCACAAACACAATGACAGCTTACGAAAAGGAAGATCTACTGGCATTGGCCAGTGTGTGGGGAAGAGGAGGGTTCCAGATCAAAGAGACTATTAGGTTAGAAGTAATTCACCTATGAGCAGACACAGGAACTTTAAGGGGTCTAGTGTCCCATCAAATAGCGAAGGAAAATTCCATTCTTCGTCTTCTATTTGCCTTACCCATGATCCTAAAGACTTTAGAAGAGACGGCTAAGAGCACATATGCTGTGAACCACTCAGTTAAAAACACAGGAGACCCAGGCATGGTGGTGCACACCTGCAATCCCACCACCCAGGAGGTTAAGGCAGGAGGGTCATGAATTCAAAGCCAGCCTGGGCTGCATAAAAAGACCCTCTATCTAAAATAACAACAGCCGAGTAAGAAAGGGAAGGGTTAGGCATTGCTGATACCTTGACAGATAATCATGTTATCCAGCCCTTGAGCTCTCAAATAGTGGCCCCATTAAATGGATCTGGGTGATTAAAATGCAGAGACATGTGTGATCACTGGACTCAGAAAGACCCAATTAATAAAGGAGAACAGACAAGTTTCACTTGGTGTTCCCTCTTATTTAGAGTTATTGCACATATAGCATTCAGGTAGAATAGATTTATGTGTCCGTTGTTTTATATGAACAAAATCACTCAAGTCATTATCGACTTAATTCATATTATGCTCTCTATCCCTGTTTAAAAAATAAAAAGAAATCCACTCACTTTCAAGGTCCCTTTAATTCAGTTAAAAAAAAATTGGCAAACTAGGCATCATGGTGTAAACCTATAATCCTAGCACACAGAAGCCTGAGGCAGGGGGATCGTGAGTAGGAGGCCAGCCTGAAATACATTTTGAGACCCTATCTCCAAGACTCTGTGTGTGTGTGTGTGTGTGTGTGTGTGTGTGTGTGTGTGTGTGTGTGTGTGTGTGTGTGTCTTTTTGATGTGGTAGTGTGGCTTTGTAAATATTTTTTACTCTTTCCAAACCACCAGTGTTCTTATCTTTAGAAATACACTTTGCTTACATTCTTCCAATACAGAAAAGTCCCATTTCAAAGTTGAACTGAAAGTGTTCATTATTATCTACACGCAATTCCTTGGACCAACCGTCTAAGTAGAAGGTGGCTCACTAGATTGAACAGCTGTGTTTTAGATTTAAGTCAGAGAATCCTAGAATACAAATCACAGAGAGCAGTTGCCAGAGATTGGGGGGCGACTGCATGGCCTTGACTGAAGGCACACGTAGTTGGCTCTCTCTTGTCTTGCTGTGTCTTTGAACGAGGAGTAAAACTGTGTAGCACATGTCAGAGAGATGCTTAGGGAGGTCACTCCTGGGAAGGTCATCTAAGACGCTAGCTGCCCAGCCCAGGTATGAAGGTCGTGGTGGCAGCAGATGTGTGGTGGTGTGTGGTACAGTTGTTTGATGCTTTCTGTAATAAACTACATACACACTTAATAGTATTTCTATTTTCTCACAAGTTTATTGCTTACCTTACTTCTTATTCTGCATTCAGCTGAAAGTAATTATCTTACAATATATGTTTTCTGATTTGTTCTTAAATATAGTTTGTCTACAGACTGCCTCCCTTCTCTCAGGATCTCTGTCTTGAAGTCGTAAATAGGAAGCTAAAGGTCACTTACTTGTTTTTCAGTAAAAGAATATTCTTGTTTTATTATTTTAAAATTCAGATGGGGGAATCTTTTGACTTGATTTTCACCTTCCACCACAGGGTACAGATATCAGCATAGATATAGGTGTGTTGGGAAGTGGGGAACACTTTAGAAGGTGGAGCCCAGTTGGATGGGGTAGATCACTGAAATACCTGAACTGAAATGGGTTACCTTTCCCCATAGTAAATGAGAAGTTTGTAATTCAGTTTAGGTACCAAAATAGACTAAATAGAATGCTTAGGACCCAGAGCCAATCAAATTAAAAACTCACACTGTCCCATCACAATATTGAGGCCGGGCGGTGGTGGCACATGCCTTTAATCCCAGCACTCGGGAGGCAGAGCCAGGAGGATCTCTGTGAGTTCAAGGCTAGCCTGGTCTACAGAGTGAAATCTAGGACAGGCACCAAAACTACACAGAGAAACCCTGTCTCGAAAAACAAAAAAATAAAAAAATTTAAAAAAGAACACAATATTGGGCATTTGGGGGGTCCCCAACCCCCAAGCGTGTGGCCATACGGTTTTCACTGAGGAATTTACCATGGAACTCCGAGGGTGAGCTGCAGGCTCCATTCTTAATTCATCTGCAGGCAGAAAGGACCCAGCCTCTCACACCAGGCATGCTTTTCCTTCCTTCATTTGCTCTATTTTGTAATTGGTCAAAAGAAACCAAAATTCCTGAGTCAAAGCGAAATAGAAGAGAGAACTATTTGCAAACTGGGGCGTGTGTTGCTTGAGATGATCATCTGCTTGTGAAGGTTGTGTGCACAGCAAATCATCACCTGAAAAGTGCACACTTAATGATGTGAGGGTTCCACTGTCAGCCACTAACCCAGAGAAGTGAGAAGCTCAGGAGCCACGGGAGAGACTCTCAAGTAGCAGATGGCATTTAAGCAGTGGCCCTCTGGCCTCAGCCTTTTGAGCACCAGCAGCATATAATGAGAGCTTTAGAGCTAATCACAGCCTTTCACCGGCAGTTCCATTCCTAAGAAAATATCCCAAGGAAATTATCCAGTAGTGGACAAAGAAAATGTCCTTAGCCAGTCTATTTATAACAGTATAAACTGGAAATACCCCAACCTCCCCCAATATGAGACTAGCTAGGCAAACTCGGAAATGATCAATGTAACGGGATACTCCATAGCTCAGCAACTAACTGTTCGTTTCGTTTATTATTCCTTCATCACATCATTCAGGGTCTTGCATATCCTATTCAGGATCTGAAGCAGATGTGCAGTGTGGAGGTGGGGCCGTCTGGCTGGAGTCTTGAAGCAGTGGTGAATGGTGAAAGCAACTCTTGAACCAAGGCGGGGCCAGCAGAGAAGGGGACAATCCCAAGAGTCCCCAGACTTGATGACTGATTCGATGTTGGATGAAAGAGGGGGGGCAGGGGGCGACTGGAGGACTAACCCCAAATTTCTGACCTGATTGGATAACGGCATTTACCGAACTAGGGAACCCTTTCTGGTTTATAAAGATTTCTGTTTTGGACACATGGTCCATAAATCAAGAGATAAGTAAATGTGGTCCTGGTAGTCAGAAAGGCATCGTGACGGGAACAGATCAGGCCGAAGACAAGCCGAGTGAAGTCGTGGGGACAGATGCAGTTGTCCACGAGGAGCTGGTGAGGGTGCTGGGAAACGCAATATTGAAGGGCTGGAGGAAGAAGAGCTGGGAGGTGGGAGGAAAGCCAGAGCAGCCATCTTGGCAGGCAGGAAGCATCCTAGGAGGGGGCAGGTGAAGATTCCTGGCAATGAATGCTGCCAAGGTGGGGCTGTTCCCTAAGGACCACATCTGCCCTTTGATTTAACACCAGAGAGGTGACCTCAGCTAGAGCAGTTTGGGGGAGGCTTCGCTTGGAGGGGAAACCAGAGTGAAGAAGTAGAGATATCGGAAGTGACAGCTCCTGGGGAGGGTTGACTGCCAGGTGAGGAAGGGGCTGCGTCATGACTGGAAGGGAAGAGAAGAACCACAGGAGGAGGAAGGGATTCGGGGGAACCTTGAACTACCTATGTACTAATGGACAGAAACCCGCAGATTTTGAGATGATTCTGCATGGAGGGGAGGGTTTTAGAGAGGCCCGACTATAAACTAGAAATTTCTGTGTGGAATTACGACAACAGAAGGAAAAAGAAATTTCCGCACACAAAAGTAACATAATGAAACTTATGTATGTGCTTTAATGCAGAAGTATTGAAGCTGAGAGACTATGGCATGTCAGTTTATGAAAGCCACGCCCACAAGAGATGCCATCTAATAAATGTGTATTCTGTGAGGCCAGTGTTTCGTACCTGTCTCCTTTATCTTGCCAGGTCTGTGGTGTTATTCTCATTTTGCACAAAAGCACAGGCAAGTTTAACTAAGCTGTAAACTAAGAATCAGAGAAATATCAGGAAATAATTTGCCTGAGAACAGGTAGCTGACGACAGGAACCAGGCTTCAGACTTGGACTGACCTCCCTAGAGCCCAAATTCTGTTCCCTAAAAGTAAAATAAATAACTTTCAGCAGCCTCCTCCCTTCTAGTAGCATCTCTGAGCTCTTGATCTTCAAACACTGACAAGACTAACAGGCAACTTGCCTTGTGTTTTTTACTTTGTCTTCTGTTTGTTTTAAACAGCCACCCCATCCCCCACTAAGAAATTTCAGAGAGTAACATTTGGAGCTGGAGAGCTAGCTCAATGGGTGTTGTGTAAGCACGAGAATCCGAATTCAAATCCTCAGCACTCACATAAAAAGTTGGGTATGGTCGTGTATGTCTGAAAGTCCAGCCCCGAGAGAGTGGCAGGCACGTCCTAAGAATTCGCCGGCCACCTAACCTAGTCAAAATGGTGGGTTTCCAGTTCACTGAGAGACCCTGGCCAAGACAGCAAGGCAGAGATGATGGAGGAAGACACCAAAGTCCCTTCTGGCTTCTTACGCAGTCAGGTGCATACACCCCGACACCGCTCCCCTCCACCCTCCCTCACACACACACCAAGAGGGGGAAAAAGTAGAATTTAAGATTTCAGAATAGGTTGCCTGGCTTTCAAAATGCATGCCAAAATACACGTGTTGAAGCTGTTTGTGTTTCAGTGTGTATGTATGACCCAGGATAATGTATCAGTATTAGGACATAAAGCTGGAGAGTACAAATATTTTCAGTTTCCAGCTCTCCTTCTAGGGAAGGTGTCAGTGAAGCTCCCCACATCATGGTAACTCCACGTCTGTGGGCAT